AATATTATATTCACAAGTGTCAATACTAGCAACGGAAAATATGTCGGCCGTTTTTATGTGTGATAACAGAACCTAAATCGAGGTAAGGCTAGGCCTAGCCTAGCAGCGTTGGATAGGCTAATGTTTTCGGCGCCTACCATATTTCTTCTCACGACCTATCGCAAAATCAACATGAAAAATTCATCCGCATTTATTTTTTGTGTGGAACACAAAAAAATCAAATTTCAGTCTTATTTTACATTTTTTTCATTCTTAGGAATGTCTAAATTCAGTTAAACTAGCAATTCCGTATTATATTTATAAATCTTTATAACATTATACAAAAATTAGATTTTTCTTAAAAACTGAAATTTTGCCGGGAATGGGGCTTTAAGCATGTAGGTTTATGTTATAACAATTACTTATCACATAGAAACAAAGGTTTTATTTTCCACGTTTCAGAACCTGGTGATATTGCCTTCAGTAATGGTGGCGTGATCTCTTCTCTTGATAACTTAAATTTAAATTGGAATATACCCAGCAACCCAGAATGCATCACTTCATTTAATGTAGACTACACACTGATCAACTTAGATCAATGCAACACAAGTGTTAATACAACTGAAAGCCAGCAATTCTCAGCTACTGCAACTGAAGGTGTTTTAAGCAACCTGTCGAGTAATTCCCACTATAGATTGTCTCTGTATGCAGTACTTGGAAATGAAACTACTGATCCTTTTGTAACTGAAGCACATACTTTAGAATCAAGTAATGTATTATCTGTTATTAAACCATTAATTCTTAAATTTGAATACACTTTTAGGGTGGAGCTTAAGTTGCTAGATAAGGCCCAGTCCCTGCATATTGTATATTTCCACTAACAAATTGTTTTAAAATTTCAGAAATAATGCATGTACAAACAGTACAGTTAAATCTTAAACCAGGTCAATAATATTGTCATAAATTTTAGTTTTACATTTTTAGGAAAAAAAGAAATAGAGTTCCATTTTCTAGATGGCTTCGTTAATACTAGACAATTGGATGTTGTCGTATCTGCAATCATGCTTGCATTTTCTCTTGTTCGTCTGTGGCAGGGCAGATGTGTATCCCGTTCCTTTGCTTGAGCCACCAAGGTAGAGATCTGGGCGCTAGGGTGGTGGTGGACAGTGTATTATTATGCACTTCATGAAATTGTAACATTATTATTATCACATCATTATTATGATTTCAGCTGATTTTGGGTTAACTTTAAAGAGTGGAATCTTTCAAACCCATCACATTATTCTTTTTCTGTTATCTCGCCTTCCAATACCATGAACTCCCTTGATAAGATATTTCACTATATTCCATATTAATTTAATAAAAAGCATTTATTAATGCGTTTACTGAACTGTTTACACTGAGCGATAATAAAGTACGCTCTCTTAAGCTTTTTTTTTGCGTGCTCCTTGCAGAGCAGTAGACAAGTAAGCCTAAAATTATATTTGTTTAATTGACAAAATTAAGTGCAATTTAAATATTGAAATTTATGATTAATGTTTTTGCTCAAAACGAACAAAGAAAATTCACTTTTTATATATTTTTTTTAATGTTTATATTCCAGAGCCAACTGGGAAACCATTAGCTGTTTCGAATCCGGATTCTCAACCAACTAAATTATCCTTTACATGGCAACCTCCGGAATGTGGAAAGCGCAATGGACCCATAACAAAGTACAAGTCAAGGCTCAAAAACTCTTCTTATAGTAACACTGAACAAATGCCAGAATTGTCTGTTACATTCTCCTCATTGCTACCATGCACTGAATATATTTTTCAAGTGAGAGCTGTAAGTGGACAGTTGCTTGGCCCTTGGAGTGATGAACTGCATGTAAAAACAGCTTTACAAGGTATGCTTGCATTTAACTGCCTAATCCAAAGTGATCCATGCAATGTGCATGATGTATTAAACAATTCATTTTCCACTAGTCTCAAAACGTACCATATCTATAAATCTATAGGCTAAAGTGAGTGGTATGGCCAAAAGGTTAAATACAGTATGTTCCTCATGCTTCTTGCATTGAAGACCCTGGTTGTACTTTGGCTACTGTGGGTATCCAGGGGGCTCAGCCAAACTTTTCAATTTTAAATATTTGGAATTGAATAAAAAAGGAAAATTTTAATTCAATTTTTAATTAGGGTACTGTATTTCACTCCTATTACTATTTATTGGTGGTATATAACAGTGAGCGTATATTGATGAAGTCTACATATTATATTGTTATTTTTGTATCCTGTCCTTATAAGTATATGTATAAACACATATTTTTATACCAAAATATAAAGTAAACTGTGCATTTTAGGTCTGAAAATTTGGTTTTTATTGGATTTTTCTGTGTGAGTTGCTTTAGCTGTTTGCCATACTTCTTGCAGACTTCAGTAAATGCAAGTAAACCTTGTTTAATTGATTTAGTTATTACTGTAAATATTCTATAAAACAGTGTCCATACTATGAAATTGTATGTGACAAGTTTGTGTGATGTGCCCATATATGGGCATGATGATGTCATATTACACCAAAATATTGTCATTTATTTGTCACCTTTAAATTAATAGTGTGGGCAAAGCTCTAGTTGTTTCACGGATATTTCTATTTTTTTATTTTTTTGTGTCACTTGAACTTAGAACCTGACAAAGTCGAGAATGTTATAATTAATGGAAGTAGCAAATCACTGCTGGTTACGTGGGAAGCTCCGGATATTCAAGGATGTGAGATTGGCTTTTACAAGCTAGAATATCAACTGGAAAATCGAGGGATGTGTGGTGAAAATTTAGAGAGTATTGGAGGAACGCTGAATACAACCAGCACAAGCATTAAGATTCATAATCTAGAAGTGTTTTCACAATACTTGGTAACAATCCATGCTGTTATTGGACAGGTGGGAGGCTCTCACAACTCGGAAGGACAGGAAACCACTTCAAGCGGCAACACAGATGAAGACGGTGGGTGAAAGGTTAACATATACCTTATTTTAAGAAACATTCAATAAGTGTGATCATAAAAAATATATATAAGATTAACTAGCTTATATAATGGGATTTATCATGGAAGCAGAGATTGATAATCGCGTCAATCAATTCTTTATTTGTTATTTTGTAAATACGTTCAATAATAATAATAATAATAATTTTGG